CCTTCCTTCCTTTCTTCCTTCCTTCCTTCCTCCCTTCCTTCTCTTTTCTTTCTTTATTGAGATAGGATCTCACTTTGTACTACAGGCTGACCTTGAGTTCACTTACGTAGTTCAATCTGGCTTCAAATTTACAGCCATTCTCCTGCCTCAGCTTGCCAAAGGCTGGGATTACAGGTACACATCACCATACATGGGTGCTTTGTGGTTTTAAACAACAAACAAACAAACAAACAAAAAATGTAATTTAAGGACTTTTGAGAGTAATTCACCATACTCAAACAAAATAATATAATGCATCTTTTATATTTCATGTATTTCACATGTGAAATAACATGTTTATTAAATAATAAATGATTACCTAGAATAAATTTCAGTGACCAATGTCTTAACATGCCTACTCATATATTGCTTTTATAACAATAATTATTGTTTTACTGATGAGCAATTTTTTCTTTTGGTAGTTGGAATTGAACTTATGACCTTGCACTTGCCAGGTAGGTGCTTTGCCACTGAATAATATCCCCAACCCCAACAATTATTCTCAATATTAAAAATAATTAAATTCAAAGGATAAATTAATTATAAAATTATATTTAATTATGGCCCTTGGGGAGATGTACATTAGATTGATTTCCCTGTGACACTATTCTAATCTCAACGGCAATCTCTAAAAGCTATGATACCTGAAATTTTAAAGATTACAAGGCAGCATATTTTAATTTTTTCTTTTTTCTTTCTCTCTCTCCCTCTCTCTCTCTCTTTTTTTTTTTTTTGTGGAACTGGGGATTGAACTCAGGCCCTTGCACTTGCCAGGCACCCACTTATTCTACTGAGCTATCTCTCCGGCCCTTTATTTTGTTTTATAAAGTGGAAAGAGCAAATGCAGTCCTGCAGTACCACCAATAATGCAGTCGAGTTTCCCACATTTGGCGAAATCACAGGGGTTAGCACAACTGGACCAGCAAGGTAAGGCTCGCCCTGGGAAAGCCACCTTCATGATCGTGGTGTCCTCCCTGTCAAGTAAGTATTAGCAGTTTTGTAGAGGTTATTCATAATCACAAGTTATAAAAAGCACCTCATCTGTGTTTGGCTTAGATTTTCTCTTTTATCTCTTATTTATTATCTACTAATCTGATAGAAACAAAATTGCAAGAAATTGATATATTAAACAGGAAGTATTCTCATTTGTACAGTTGCCACGTTTTATATATTTCTGTAGTTACAAATATCGCATAACATTGCTCTATATATCTATCTAATTATATATCGTCCCTTCCAGAGTTTTATAAGACTCTGAAGAGCATAAGTTCAGAAGGGTGATTCTATGTTTTTAGTGTTCACAACTACCAGGGGTTAATGAAGACGTACACTGTCATTGTGCAGCAGGATCAAAAGATTTGTCTAAATTTAATCTCAGTGTATTTTTAAGGAGCCCAAGTGGCTAGTCCAAAAGTCATCCTTCCATTGGAATAATACTTTAGATGGGAAATGTAGGTGGGAAATGTAGGCTGTTAGATGCATTCCTTATTCATTTATTTTTGTTTTGTTTGTCTATATGACATGCATTTCTGAAAGATATTTGAAACACAAGGAATCTTATTTCTATTATTACAGACTTGGAGGTTTTGCTGTACAAGTTTTCATTAGGGTCTGTTGAGACAGAAACAGTTTCCTTCACAACAGACTTTTATTCTCCATGCAGCTGTAGATTACAAATAATTATGTCACCTAGATTTTTGAAACCCTCATCAGTATCTGTTTATAGCTAATGACTTAATGACTTTCTAACTGTTGTTCAATTATATTATCAGCAAATTATTTTCTAATGTGATAGAAGTAAAAAATGATTATTTAAATATTACAAAGGATTATTTCAAAACCATAAATATCGATAAGTGTGATTAACCTGGGAATAGTAAAGTCAATGTAAATTTAAAAGAAATAAGCACTCGGTATGTTTTAGGCAAGAATCAGGTACAAAATCACAGAGGGGCTGGAGAGATACATCCACTAAGCAAATCTTGCATATTGAAACAGTAGAAGAGCTGTACTTTTATATAGTATTTAGGCGTTAAATACTGAAAAGTTCATAAGCAGTATCTGATTAATACATTGCCTTGTCACATTCCACAAGATATGCATTATACTTTCTCTAGAATTGTTTTTCTATGTACAGATTTTTGACAATAGTGAGGTTTAAAAAGAAAATTTAGTTTTGATTCCATGTTTATTTGAAACAGAGGATCACTGAAAATTTTGGTGGGTTGAATGACTCAAATGTGTAGCTTTTTCAGGTAATTAAATGCAGATGAAGGGGCCAGGGAGATGGCTCAATGGAATAAATGCTTCCCTGGCAAGCGTAAGGGCCTGAGTTCAATCTCCGGTTCTGCCTAAATAAATAAATAAATATTAAAAAAATAAATGCAGATGAAAATTAATGACTGCTAGGAGTTCTAGAACTTTTCCTCAAGTTCTTCAATGATATATAAATGTAAGGAATTGTGGTTCTTATAATCTGCTTACACATGATAAAAGTCTTTTTGCCCCCAAACATACTGTAGCTCAATTATCATAAGGGACATCTCAGTTGATGAGTCCCCTCCCTCTCTGAGAATTCATCGACCATTTAATAGCTCCATTTCAACTCCGACCAGGGCTGTGATATGGTCGCAGATTTTTAGCTTCAAGTTTATTTTGATTTACTGTTCATTGAATACCATCACCTTATTTTTATTCCTGTAAGTCATTAGTGTAATGATGGTTGAATTTTTCATGAGGTAAGTTCAAAGTTAAGAAGGTTCTGTAGTTCAAGATACCTTTGGAGTCATGAATCTGAGAGTGAAAAATGACAAAAGACAGAATGTGATTTTTGAAGAGAGGCAGAGGTGTTTGGAATTCTTTAAATTCTACATGTGGAGAATTGAAAAACCACAATTAAAGTACATTCTTTCCTTTTTTTTTTTTTTAACACAAGGTCTCACTAGGTAGCTCAGACTCATAGTGATCCTCCTGTTTTCAACCTCCCCAGCCCTGAGATTATAGATATGTGCCACCATGCTTGGTCTCAGTGGCCGGCTCAGCACACCTGGGGGCAGGACCGACACGGCATGTGTTACAGGGAATAGAACCCCAGTCCCTGAGTTTGCCTAAATAGATGCTTAGTTCACTGAGCCATCTCACTGTCCCTAATTAAATTAATTTATTGTAGGGATGGCCAAATAACTCAGCGGACTAAAGCGCCTGGTAGGCTGGGGTCCAATCCCCTGCATGTGGTGCCAGCCCCTACCCCCAGGAGCTCTGAGACAGTGATTGAGACTGGGCGTGGTGGCGGGCACCTATAATCTCACACCTGAGAGATTAAAAACAGGAGAATCACTAAGACTCTGATCTGTGTAGTGAGATCCTGTACACCCTGTAGACCCTATACTAAATACATTTTTTAAAAAGAGAACAAATAAGTTAATTTATTTTAACCATATATAGCACTTTTTTTTTTGTCTACTTACCCCGCCCTGAGGATGGGGTTGGCATGGCATGTGGTACGGGGATCAAACCACAGTCCCCTGTTTCTGCCTAAGCTTGCCTAAACAGGGATTTTAGACTGCTGAGCTATCTCACTGGCCCTGTATAGCATTTTATTTATGGTCAGTGAGCTTACACGACAATTCCTTCGATCTCTTCCTCCTCCACTTCCTCCTCCTTCTCCTTTTTTTTTTCTCATTCTCCTCCTCCTCTTCTTCTTTCTCCTTTTCCTTCTTCATCTTTTCTTTTAAACAGTGTCTTACTAGATTGCCCAGCCTTTCAATCCTTCTATCCCAGCCTACTGGTTAGCTGTAGGACTGCATGAAAATATGGGCTCCGTCTTATGGCTTTCAACAAATTGTCTCTCTGTTCCCGGAATTTTGCAAATATAATCTGTAGAATATTTTTATTTCTAATTTTAAGACCTCATGCTATTGAAAAGCTTGGTTCCTATGCCTTGTGGGATCTTTCCCTGTTTGGGTACACTTAACTTAATGGTGCATTTCTAGTGAATGGGTAGAAGCAATAGAATGTCACTTCTCAGATTAGATTCAAAAAGACTGCAGCTTCTGTCATGCGTGTTCTCTGATTTGCTTGGTACATCGTAGGGAATCAGTTCCCATGATCTTTCCAGAGGAGAGGCTCACATGGCAAGAAGCTGTGGGAACTCTCTGGCAACAGCCACCAAGGAACTGAGACCTTTAGTGCAACAAGCTGGGAGGGACTTAATCCTGCCAAGAGCTCATGGAGAGACTGGGAAATAACCCTCTCTGTATAAGTCTTCTAAAAGAACGCAGCCCCAACCAACCGCTCTCTGCAACCCCAGGACAAATCTCCACAGAGCCACGCAGGCAAAATGGACAGAAGTCTGGATCCTCGAAACCATCAGCTGAGAGATGCTTTGGTTTTGTTTGGTAGATTTATTTATTTACTTATTTATTCATTTTAATGAGAATAAAAGATACAATAACATGAAACAGTTTCAATACAGGTTAGGAGGACATTTACAATAATTAATACATTGCATATTGTTGTCTTCATAGTAGTTATTCAGAGGACAATGTGCATACACAATATCTTGTCTAAACAATATTAGTATAAACTTCTATTCTCAGTGAACTAGGAGAAAATAGCTATATATCTATCCTAACTCTTTTGTGTATACATAGCCATTTGTGAAATGCAAATGAAAACAGCACTGAGATACCATCTCACCCCAGAAAGAATGGTTATCATGAAGAAATCAACCAACAACAAATGTTGGAGAGGCTGTGGGGGAAAAGGAACCCTTCTCCACTGCTGGTGGGAATGTAGACTGGTGCAACCACTATGGAAATCAGTGTGGCAACTCCTTAAAATATAGGACCAGAAGGGCCAGCCAAATAGCTCAGTGGATTAAAGCGCCTGCAAACAGGCACAGGTGCCAACAGTTCGATCCCCAGGCCTGCAATGTCAGCCCTACCCCCAGGGCATGCTGGGCGTGGTGGTGTGTGCCTGTAATCCCAGCTCTTAGGAGGCTGTAAACAGGCAGATCACTACTACTCAGATCTAGTAGTAGACCCTTCCCTAAAAATACAAAAAACAAAACAAAACAAAGCAAATCTAGGAAAGTGCATTCAATCCAGCTATCCCCCTTCTGGGAATTTTCCCAAAAGAACTGAAAACATCATATTGTACTGATATATGTGCACCTGTGTTTACAGTGGTGCAGTTTGTGATAGCCAAATCTTGGAAACAACCAAGATGCCCATCACCTGAGGGATGGATGGAAAAGATGTGGTGCTTTTATACAATGGAGTATTACTCAGCTATAAAGAAAAATAAACCACAACCTTCAAATATAAGTCAATGCAACTTGAAAATATACTCATAACTTATTTTGTAGGTATTAGGGTCATTGGTATACAGAAACGGACAAGCAATGCACTTGCATGTTCAGTCTTAAAAAAAGTCAAACTAGTTATAAGAATCAAGTAGGCTGATAAAAATTGTAAAATTTTTACCTTCTTTTTTTTATGAGTGTCATAACAAAGTGCCACAGATAAGGTGTTTTTAAAACTGCAAGTTTATTTATTCACAATTCTGTACAACAAAAATCAAGTACTAGTTTGTGGACAAGTTGGTTTTCTTTCCTTGCAAATGTCATGTTGTTCCTATACCTTCCTCTTCTCTCTCTCTCTCTCTCTCTCTCTCTCTCTCTCTCTCTCTCTCTCTCTTTTTTTCTAGTCCTAAGGATTGAGCCAAGAGTCTTTGCACTGAGGTACATCTCTAGCCCTTTTGTACTGCTTTATTTTGACACAAGATCTAGTTAACTCATTAAATTTCTTGAAGAATTAAAAACACTATCTGAAATGCAGTCTCATCATGTGACACTGAGGATTAGAACCTTAACATATGCATTGAGGGGGTACAATAGTTTGTAGTAATAATTATCAAAATTTAGGGAACATTTATGTATGTAGTGTCTCATTTATCACAACATGCCAATGTAATAAATGCAGTTACC